ACAAGTGATGGAATTTATACCTACTATTAAGCACTGTGCAAACTCCTAACACCTGAATCATCACAAACTTGCTTTAAAGCATATTCAGCGATTAAGTAATCTCACTTGCTTATGTACTTTCTGACACTGTACAACATACTGTTGTCTATACATTTAAATATCTATAAAGCCAGACAAAAGTACAGAATAAAATTCAGACCTCAACATGCTGCAACTGTTTTAGCTACACTTTGTCCATTTTTATAAATAACAGTATGTCATCCAGTGTTGGAACCCATACAAGCAAGTCTATGTAAAACTACTTAATAACTGTACATGTTCTTAGGCAAATGTTATGATTTAGACATGTAATTATTCGTTAGCTACATTAGCCTGCTAAAGAGGCAAACTTTGGACAACAAACTTGTCTGATCCAATACATTTAGGATAAGAGGAATGCATCGTTTTAGGCACAAGATTTGCTGGGTTAGTCTTGAGCAGCTTAAATCAAGGTGAGTAAAACTCAGACCAAGTTCAGGTTTATATAGCCTCAGACCACTGTGGAATGGTAGCCTAAGGGCTTTTATTAGGTTTGTGCAGTCTCCAGGCTGAAGTTGGCCTAGAGCCCTATTGAGCCAGTCTGTCGATTTTTTTTCCCCACAAACAAATATAGCAGGTTTAGCCAAGACCTTCCAGAAAACTCTTAGTCAACACTGAAACCTGTTTTTGATGCCTTTTGAATGTGATGCCTTTAATTCTTGGGTGCTCCATAATGGTTTTAAACATGAATTTAGTCACCCAGAAGTATTTAAACCCACTTAAACTACACATAATATGTGAACTAGTTTCAATAGTGTAAATGAAAAGGACTGGATTTTGAAAATAGCAAGACAATATCCTACCCTGCACAACTTAATGACAATCAGCCAAAAAACAAATTATACAATTTTCCTCTTGCCCCATACTCAATATACCAAGACTTCTTTGGTGTCTTAAGTTTTTTAGCTCTGCACTGGAGCTATGAGGCTAATGTAGCTAACAAGTAATGGAAGCCTACAGTTACCAGTTTAGTATTGTGCAAACTGCAAGACTAAGTCATCACACACTACCTCAAACTGCACTGAGTTGTTGGTAATCTAAAACAGACGTCCTTATGTGGTTTGTAAAACTGCATGACATACTGTTATCTATAAAAAACAGAAAAAAGTACAGACAAATATCAGGCTTCAGGATAGTTGTTACTTGGCTATGCAGGGTACTTGTGACCATTTTTAGATTAGAAAGCCATGTGACTTCTTTTGGGTAGGCTAGGGGGAAAACTAAATGATTTTTGATTAAGCATGGCTTAAAGTGTTTATAATGATGCTTCTGTCATTATTAGGGTATCAACAAATAAAGTATTTTTACAAAATAAACAATAGAAAGCATGCTATATTTTTCTTACCAAGCTACATCAAAGTACATAATGAGACTAATCATAACGTTTAATTTACACTTACTTTCATGTTTCTCTCTGGAAGCTCATTATATTTTGCCCCTGCACTACACAGAACCAACTCTCTACAAATGAAGGAATCAGTCAGGCAAGCAATAGGAATTGCTTTAATATCTTTATGAAACATGAAAATCATACCAAAACTTTTTAAAATCTATTTCTACAAGTATGGAAAATACTAAACAAATAACAATTGTGGGCCAATGTGAATATCTGATATTTTATTTTATATTACTTGTTACTACAAGATTTTGTTTCTAGGTTGATCTGAAAAGCCATTTTTTATGGTGTAAAAATTGGGATGAGATCTACCTGGATAAGCATTACAGAGAAATACAGGCTAACATTTATTTCCACAGGGTCACAAATGCAGTAAAATTAATAAAATGCAGCCATTTAGCCACAGTAACGCAGTATCGTCTAAACCAGGGTGCCCAACTCCAGTCCTGGAGGGCCAGTGTCCAGCACAGCTTGGAGGTGTCCTTTTTCAACCACACTCACTAAGCCTGGCAATTACCAGATGAGTGTAATCACATCTGTCTGAGAAGATAAATCACCAAACTGCGGTGGACACTGGACCTCCAGGACTGGAGTTGTGCACTACTGGCTTAAATGCTCTGCTTTTCCAATAAATATGTCATTAAATGTTGGTCTAATCTAAACTTCTGTTTGATTCTGATACTTTTTAAAGCAACTGTCTGCCAGTACATTGATTCTGATATATTGTGCATTGTACTTTGTCACTGTACTTAGGTATTATTTTGGAATATCTGTACTTTACTCAAGTTACTAAAACTGAATATTTGCACTTGTACTCAATATCATTTTTAAGAGAAAAGAAAATTAACCTTTACTCCTTGCATTTTAATTTACTTTCAAATAAGATCGATCAACATGACAATATTTGTTGTTGTCATGATAAATTAGAACACAATATGAGACAATATGCTTTTCTGAACATACACTGTAAAAAATGGCTCATCAGATCAACTTAAAAAATTACTTTATGCTGTGACAAGCAATTAAACTAGTTTTATTCAACTAAAAAAATTACATTGATTAAAAGAATTGTTCATTCGTATTCATATCGAGTATTTGTTTAGGTTGAATAAACTTGTTACCACATGAAGTAATTTTTTACGTTGGACTGAGGAGCCATTTTTACAGTGTATCATGGGTGTTTTCAGTACTCAAGAAACACTTCTCAAGTACATGTATGATTACAAAGAGAGCATAATTAGGCCAGGCTAATTGGATTTAGTGTAGCACAGCATGTAAAGTGTTGAATATTCATAATCATTGCATTCACTGTATTTTTTAAATGCACTGTTAAAAATGGCTTGTCAGTTCAACCTACAAAAATTAACTAGTATTATGCAACCTAAATAAATACTTTGAATTAAGGATTCTTTCAATCAGTGTAATGTTTGTGCTAAATAAAACTAGTTCAATTGCTTGTTACCACATGAAGTAATTTTTTAGGTTGAACTGACGAGCCATTTTTACAGTGTGTGGCACACCTTTGTCCATTCCAACATATCAGATGTGAGAAAAAAATAAATATTATATATTGTGTATGGTAAAAGCTTCTTTATGTTTTGTGATATTACATATTACATACTACAGCTCTACTTTAAAAGTACTTGTTACAAATGCCATCAGATTTTTTTATTTTTCTTTTGCCAATCAGTCATATTTCTACGCATTTCATTATTAGTTGTGTCAAGTTATGTCAGTGTAAAATGAACCTGCCCAGGACTACTAGCCATTAGTTACCACATCAGTTTACTGATGTGGTGACTAATGGCAAGACATACAGGCTTGTCTTAGTTAGACCGAGTGTGATGCTCATACACCTCATACCTATTACTGTAATGTTAAAAAATTCTATGACTTCTCATTTTCTGTTAAAACATTAATTTCTAACCGCATTACCCAGAGTACAGTTAAATGCTTTACACTCAACGACATTTTTGACTCCATTAATCTAAGATTAATCTAATCTAAGATTTTGACACAGTACTAATGAAAGTTTGAATACAGTTTGGACTTTTTCAGCTCCTGCTTCCTTCCAGCCTCTTCAGAGACTTTTTTCCGACTGAGTCACGTTAAGTCTTCCCTCAAGGGTCCACTCACTCGAAGAACTACAAATCCCAAAAGCCGAGTGTCTCGGACGCGCGGGGATTTTCAAAAAAAACCCTGCGCTGCAATGTGTCCGCGAGAAAGTGTGTCACTGGGCCACGAGGCCCTCCCCGGGGTCACATGGACACATTTCGAGCCTCGTGCGGAGCCGCTGGAGCCGCCGCGCCTGCGCCCAGCGCGCGCATGTGTGTTGGTCTCTGTAGAGAGGCGCAGCAAAACCGGGCCGTGCTGCCAGCGCACTTCACACACGCACACAGACAGCGCGAGTGAGAGCACCGGCTCGCCGGGAACACTTTCACTCACACAGAGATCTGAACATACACACTTATTACGCGCACTGCAGCTCGGGGCTGCAGCCTGCGACCCTGCATATCGCGCATCTATCCACATTTAAACTGCAGCTACTGAACAGTGTTAAAGCTGAGGGACTGAGTAGGCAGTGCGAGCCTCTCCTAAAGGAGAGCTGATCTCCCGCAAAGTGCAAGCGTGCGTTCAGAGAGCACTATTTTCCTCTCATTCACACCTGCATGACGGTACTGGATGACAAAATGACGACCACCATGGACACGAACAACACAGGTAAGACGGGCTGAATATTACGTTTTATATAAACGTCCTATAAATGTCTAGTTTTGCTTGTGCATCCCTGTTTCATCAGTGTTTTAAAACAATGGGAGATGAGAATTGGTGTATTATTTTCTAAAGGGGGTCTACTGTAACTGCAGCTCAGTGGGAATTAAGGGGAATTGACTCCAACAGGATCTTCGTTGCTGTCCATGTATCTTGGTATAGTTATACACTTAGATAGGAGTTGTAATATTTTAGCACTGCATATATAGCATAGCTGTGATCGTACGTTGTGGAGTTTAACTAACACATATCAGGTGATGATTACGCACGTTTTGAATTCCACACGTTTCCAGCCTTGAGTTTAAATGTGCTGCGCATGATGAACGAAGCAAAACTGAGGGAAACTGAGGGCAACTAAGTTTACACTGTGGGTTAATACGAGCCCCCCATATAGCAAACTACAGAAAAGCTGTGGGCATCGCGCGGGGTCGAGGACGTGACGGGTTAAGCCGCGGTGTTCTCGTGGAGTTCGGGGAACTAGGTCACGCCGTTGAAGAGTCAGGTGGACGGACATCCCTGTGATGCAGGCGCTCGGTGCCCCGCATGTTCCTTGCCGCGTGCACATGGACCGCCGGAGCTGGCCATGTGCGCTTTGTTTTCATTCCGCCTCTTCGCCTCCGCCCATTGGTACGCGCCTCGCGCGCGTTACATAACGCCGCCTAGTCCTGGGCGTGTGACGTAGCCGCTCGCGGCCATGTGCGCGCGCTGATTGGCTAAGCGCAGAGCGACTGGTGGGACGCGGGCGGGACCTCACGTTAACCCACGTTCGCTTCAAAACTAGGACATGAAATCAATCCAAGGCAACGTAACAGTTTTTTTGGTTGCTTGTTTCTCTTGACATGAATACACAGACAGCGGACAGCATAGCCCAGATCTGAACAACGTAATAATGACTTAATCGGTTGATGTGGAAAATAAAACCACAAAATGTGATTTGAAAGTGACCGCATGTGCTGGCCATTGATGAAAGACAACCGTTTACAAGACATTTCATATAACATTCCACTTTCCACAACAAACATAAATTCAACACATTTAATCTTTACAGCGTTTTTCCTGTATTGGCACTCGGCCTAGTTCAAATCTTAATAGGTTAGGACTAAAAACTCACTCCCTTAATGTGTAGAATAAACGTGTGATGGACTTTGTTACTTTAGCTACTGACCATTCATAAAAGAGAAGCGTGTTTGCTGGACTGAGTAAATGAGACATTTCAGTTTAATACTGTGTCCACACGATGAACTTCATTGCCCTCAAACATTCAACTCGTAAGCTGACTAAAAGTCACGTAAGCAGTGAGTGGCAGCCTACAAGGAAATGAACGGAGTGAAAAAGTATGAGAAACGTGCAGCTGGATTGAATGTCCTGAAGGCGGGTCTAGAGCAGCCAGTCTCGTTGAGAAGCCGTATGTCTGCGGCGCACGTGGAATGGGGGCGTGCGCGGATGATGCGCTCGAGTCAGCCTACACGGGGACACGGTGTGGACGCACGAGTCTCCAACGGAGTCTCTCTTCCAAAGAAAACGTTACGTTGTTTGATCGGATTATGTCAGTCATTATATCAGTTAATGTGAAAGATGAAAACAGTCACTGATCATATGGCTGAAGTAGTTCCGTAGACTGTTAAGGGCTTTAAGACGCTGCCCTAATGTTCCGGAACGCAGATGACAAATAGTGCGTTTAAAAGGTAGAACTTCGAGGAAAAAAGGTCAGATTGTGAAAGAACTGTGGTGGGCACAAGCACGTGTTTCTGTTGTGGTTCCACATGACACAGTGACCCTTTGACTTTTTGTGCTAGTGTACAGCGGTTATATAATGCTTGGAGCTGTCTGCCACTGGTTTTGAATGTTCTGAGGAACAGCACTGGGAGGATATAACGCCCACTTTGTTCTGGTTAAAGTTACCAAAAGTTTATGTACTTAGAAAAGTTACTGCATTCAAGTTGTGTCCTGGTTGAGGAGAGTTAGGCAGTCTTTAATGGTTTCAATGGATTAACAAGTTTGGGAACAGTTGCAAAGTAGGAGGAGGAGGAAGAGGAGTATGGAAAAAGCAGAAGAGGAATGCAGGTGAAAAAAACAGGCAAAAGATGACATTTCAATAGCGCACTTGTAATGTTGTGGTCCACTCACATCCTATTAGTGTCTTGCACTCAGTAGAGCCACTACAGTTTGCTTAAGAGTAATCAGGATGTGACTACCAGTACAATGTGTATAAACAACGTATGACAACACACGTGCCTGCACGTGTGCCGACATACTAAACAGAGATCTGGATATGAATTATAGCTAGGAATGAGCCAACCACATTGGCACGCAGGAGTAAGATAAAACAGGTGTTGCTTGTACACGTGGCTTGACACTGCCAGCAGCAATCATAAACATATCCTTGCACGTAGCACATGTTCAGATGGCCTTGTGCAGTGAACAGTGGTTCCTAGAAAGTGGCTATGTTTTTCAAACATGCAGATCCCCTCCCTCTTCCCTGCTGCCAAGTCACCATCTGTGTTGCTGAGGCTTCTTCTGTAACCACATGCAGTAATTTAGTGAGCATTTTAATAGGGATGTGACTGCAGCCTGTCTGCTAAGATGAAAAATAAACGGGTGTTTGTCTCTGCGGACAGCTCTCTCTCTTTTCACGCTATGGAACAGATGAGTTCAACCCAATATACAAAAGATTACCATGTTTCTGAAATGTGTTTCACTCTTTCTTTTCGCTAGGGGGAGTGATCTCATACATCGGCTCATGTGGAGGCTCCCCAAACCGCACCAGCCCAGTCTCAATGTACAGTGAGAATTCCAACAGCAGTTCTATGTCACTGATGCAGCCGTGCTTCGGCTCATCTTTCCCACCTTCTCCCAATGGCTCCCATGATTCTTCACGCATGTACACCAGCAGCAGCAGCAGCTCTGGCTCTGGCGAGGATGGGAACTCATCATGCTCTGGAGGATCTCCAAGGGGTCGCGATGAAGGCACCAATGCACGCAACTCACCTAACAAATCAGTTGCTACTCTTACAAGTGAGTTACAGTGCCCCCTGTTGAAAGTCATAACAAAAGCATACATGATTTAAAATGCTAACTATTTTTTTATCTACCAGAGCTGAATGGGATGGTGTTACTCTGTAAGGTCTGCGGAGATGTGGCATCAGGTTTTCACTACGGTGTCCATGCTTGCGAAGGATGCAAGGTAGGATTTTTTTTTTGCAACACGTCACATGCAACCTTATCCCCCATCTTGCAATACCAGAAATACTTAGCTTTTCTTTATTGTTGACAGGGGTTCTTCCGTCGGAGCATCCAGCAAAACATTCAATACAAAAAGTGCCTGAAGAATGAGACCTGTACAATTATGAGGATCAACCGCAACCGCTGTCAGCAGTGCCGTTTCAAAAAGTGCTTGTCTGTGGGCATGTCTCGGGATGGTGAGTTACAAACAAACCATCAGACTGGAACAATTTTTCACAAAATAACAACCTGCCAAACCTGACTCAACTTCTTTTTTCTCATAGCTGTCCGTTTTGGCCGCATCCCAAAACGTGAAAAGCAGCGCATGCTGGCTGAGATGCAGAGTGCCATGAATAACATGGTGAATAACCAGCTGCAGAGTGAATTCCAGCTGGCTAGTATCAAATCTGCCACTCCATCCTCTTCATCGTCTTCATCCTCATCACCCTGCCCAGGTCTAACAGTGGCCCCTCAGCCCCAGCCTCCTGCTGTGCCTATTGCGCCTTCCCCCTCCCCTCCTGCCCCTGCCTCCCCTCCAGCTCAGCCAGCTCAGAGCCCTCCTCTGATTGCCACGTCCCCACCTCTGTGCCACAGCCCTGGCGTGGACACCACCATAACTGCTATCACCCGAGCCCACCGTGAGACCTTTGTCTATGCTCACGATAAGCTAGGCCCAGCAATACGGCCCCACAATAATGTTGATCTGGGTGACCAAATTGGCAATCGTTGCTCAGCTGGCTACCATGTTAACAGCCACAATACAATCTACCACAATAATAACGGAGGTCTGCAGTGCAATGGCTTTGAAGTGGCACCTGATAATGGACATAACCTTCAATCCTCACCAGTCTCCATTCAGCACCATCAGGGGTTGCCACACCAGAACAATGGGCGACGCCTCCACAACAACAATTTCTTTGGGGATCATCAAGGTAAAGAGACCAGCAACAATATCCAGTCGCAAAACTGCCCATGGAAGAACCGCAAGGATATTCTTCTGGTGAGTCTAATTATCATCACAAGCAATTTTCCTGTACAATGAGAGGAGAAACTTTGTAGTTCTAGGAGGTCCCAACCTTTGCATGAACAGGGACTTGCTTAAAAATGACCTTGTCAATGGTATATAAGTGAAACCATTCTCTGAATTCTGTTTGCCTTTCTTTTTTCAGGCTTGTCCAATGAATATGCATCCTCAGGCAGATCCTAACAAGACACCTCAGGAGATCTGGGAGGACTTCTCACTTAGCTTCACACCAGCTGTGCGTGAGGTGGTGGAGTTTGCCAAACACATCCCGGGTTTCAGCTCTCTATCCCAAAATGATCAAGTCACCTTGCTAAAGGCTGGGACCTTTGAGGTACACCAATCATCTGTTGTCCATCTGCTAATCTAAATCATTTGATAAACTAAAACACTTTGTGTCAAGGCTGTTCATGAAAATAACACATCCCAGCCACGAAGTTGAAGTAATGCTCATATTGATGCATGGTATACAATAGAGGTCTTTGTAGGCTTACTGAAAATTAAAAATCCATAACCCAAAAATCTCAAATTCAAGTCATGTAGACATTTGAATAATGATATGTTTGCTGTATTTGCATACAGGCACATGTAAACATGCATCATCCCCACAATTGCCACGGCTATTGTTTCTTACTGTCTGCTTTCTTAAAGCTTCTGCTTTAATTTGTTTGACAGAAACCTAGAGTAACTGTTCTCTATCTCTTTCCCTCTCTGTTTTATTCCACAGGTGCTGATGGTGCGTTTCGCATCCCTGTTTAATGTCAAGGAGAAAACTGTAACGTTTATCTCTGGCACCACCTACAACCTTGAAGCTCTAAAGAACATGGGGATGGGAGATCTGTTGGGAACCATGTTTGACTTCAGCGAGAAACTCAATGCCCTTGAGCTCTCTCCAGAGGAGCTGGGACTCTTTACTGCTGTGGTGCTGGTGTCTGCAGGTAAGCATAATGGACTTTAAGGAAGGGCATTTTGTTTCAGAATAAAATCTTGTTTCAGTAATATCTTTAAGTATCTTTTGTTCTTGCCTGTATTTCATGCAATAATAGCAGGACATATAAATGGTAGTCGTAATGATGTCCTGCATAAGTTATAATGATATGATCAAAAGTTTCTCTAATTTTTTCCTTTTACTGTCCAGATCGCTCTGGCATTGAGAACATCAACTCAGTGGAGATGCTTCAGGAAAGCCTGATCCGAGCCCTCCGTGCACTCGTCAGCAAGAGTGCTCCTGGTGATGCCTCGCGTTTCACCAAGCTATTGCTCAAACTGCCAGACCTTCGCACCCTCAACAACATGCACTCTGAGAAGCTTCTCTCCTTCCGCATCGATGCCTGAAAGGCCCTAAAATGCCGCAATTACCAGCCAGCTGAGTCAGAGTTTGTGGGTAGTGGTGGCCTTAATGGAAGGCTTTGCAAAATGAGCATTGGTGCTCCTTTCAAGAATACTCCACCAACAGCTGACTGACACTGATGGTGCTCAAAGACTTGAATATTATTACAAATTTGAAGGGACACACAAGCACCTAGTGCTATCAGAAGAGTCAAATGACTATGTAGGGTTTTTGACAGTTTATCAGCCTCACATGAAATGGCTGATGAAATTCAGCCACCAAAATCAATCCCCTGATGTTTCAAACTGAAGGACAATGCAAGGCATGGACTCAAAGATCCAACCAATCTGCAACCTCCAGTCCAGTGGGAGCAAGCCATAGGGAACAAGTGCAAAAAAGCCTCCCGCAGGAATCCACAGCCAGAAGGCTCAGAAAGAGGACAGCAGATGTCAGTTACTGGGACAGTTATTCCAGTTAGGCTTGGGCTCCTCCAAGAGGCTGCCATACTTAAGACATTGACCAGGTTATCTCTCTCAATAATGCAAAACAAAACAGATGACTTATCCCACATGTATTTACATCCCTGTGACTTGTATAAATGTGTAAATAAGCATAAATCTATACATACTTGAAATGTTTCAAAATGTATAATATATTCTATATATAAATATATTTTTTTGTAAAGTTTAAACACTCAATGAGAAGTTATATGTGGGCACAAGTGTATAAGATGTCAAGTGTATGCATATTATAGAACAATATTCAGACATGTATTTCAGATGTGTTTTAAATCATAAAGACTTTTTCTGAAACGTGAATAACTCTTTTCTCTTTTTTTTGATCGTTAACTTGTGAATCCCTCTTTGTTGGCAAGTTAGTGTTCATACCGGAAGGTCTAAAACCAGCCAGAGTCAGTTTATTGCACCCTCCTCAAATATCCTCAAAACCAAGATCACAGAGACTGAAAATACGTGGACTTTTACACTCCATTATTAGTCAAAAGTCAAGTCAAGTCAAAGTTTATTTATATAGCGCTTTTTACAACAGGTGTTGTCACAAAGCAGCTTAACAGAAAAACCTGGGTCCAAGCCCCCATGAGCGCCACCAATGGCGACAGTGGCAAGGAAAAACTCCCTAAGAGAAAGAGGAAGAAACCTTGAGAGGAACCAAGACTCAAAAGGGGAACCCATCCTCCTCTGTTTCATACTGGATAGCAAACAGCATTATTACACATTATTATTACCCCTGGTGCAATGGATTCTGAATGAGGTCCTATTACCAACTCGGAGACTAATTCTAGTTATAATGTGGAAAGAGCCCTGAATAACAAAAGGCCACATGCCATGTGCAAAGTAAAAAACAAAAACACGCAAGCCAGGGTGAAACAGGAACAAAAGTAACATGAAAAAAATAATAATCCAGTGTCCAACAACAAAGCTTTATCATAAAGTGGTAAATCTCACCTGTACATTTATTACAGTCTGTGAAACAACAAGCACAAATAAAAACCTGTGATTTTCAACATCTAACTTTGTCTGCTGTTTAAGTTTGTTTATTGTATCTATAAACTCACTTAGAATGCCTGAAACACAACATTTTCTTAATGAAAATATTTATCAAAACTACAGTTCCACTAGAATAAATGAAACGACTTCAAAGACTAAAATATCTACAGTCATGAACAAGTGATAAATGATATCAGTTGCTCTGCTCACACTTTATGATATTGAAATGAACCGCATGCTCTGCCATTGTTCAGTGTTGATGCCCCGATTCTGTCATCTTTCAGCAGAACAAGGGTTTCAACAAAGCCTGTACCTCCTAAAATAGTTCTAGGACGGGTACAGACAGTGACTCTGAGTGGGGCAAAACACAGTCCTCCAGAAAAGAACCAGTTTTACAAGAAGGTCTGGTCCTGAACCTGAATCACTGGAGGCTGGGATAGATTTAATGACCTTGTCTCAATCTTAGCTTGGCTGTACTACCAAGTGAAAACAAAGAGAACCTGGAATTTATATTTTACAGGATGTCGATGTGATACAAACCTGGAATAGGTTGAAATTTTGTGATTATGCTTAATTTCACATTCTGAAGCAAAGACAACTTTATTCAATAAACTATTTTTTGAGTCCACAACATTTGATGTCTACAAAGAGACAAAAATCTGCTATAGTAAGTTTAAGATAAAGTACACATTCAGGTCTATTTACACAGAGTTACTGCTATTTAGCTGTTTACCACAGCATGTTGGAGTTGATTAAATAATGAGCTCAAAGAAAAACTTTCAGCTTTATTTGAGGGTACTCACATCCAAAAAGGGTGATTTGTGATTTTTATACACAGCCTCCCATTTCTAAAAGCTCAAAAATCAATCACCGCCTAAAGTCTGGAAACCATAAGACATTTCAACACCAGTACACTGTGCTAGACAGCTAAAATAACAATACAATTGTCAACATCCAAATATTTATGGACATGACCGTGTTAAAGTGAATATTGATAATTTGTTGTTTTCTTCATCTTTGAAAGGGTCAATAAAGCACAACATGTCCACCACATCACACAATTTTTTTTTTAGATGAAATGTTTCAGTATTTAGTATGTTTTTTGACACAAAAAATAAATATGATTACTGAGCTGGCAAACTCATTTTTTGTCGTTGTGAAAGCAATACGTAATTGAAACTAGGGAGTGTGACCAGTTGACATGGAGGAAAAAAAAATGACCATGTCCAATAGGCACCAATCTCATTAAATGACTAAGGCTAAGCAAACATACATGGATGAGCCTCAAATTCTTGTTAATTATATCTTGCGAAAGCATGCCTGAGAGCATACCTACAACAGCCTGCTTCATCCCTGCTTCTCCTTTTACATAACCCTTGTTGCCTGCCTTTCTTGTCTTTTATGCCCTGGACAGATCATTCAGTCATTTAATAATTACAAACCTATTATTATCAACTCTTGTGCTCTATTGATCATTAAAAGGTACAAATTCATGAGTCTTATAGTTAAAATGTTCACAGGAATACCTCAATAATAAATCTAAGCAGAATCATAGACAAAAACCTTCTACTCAAATTGACTATTTCAACTGGAAACCCCAAATATACTGAACAAACACAAGCCTACAAACCACATGATGAATAGAACCTTTGCAAACACCAAAGAAACATTAAACAAACATCTAAGGAAAAAACATCTATGTTACAATTAGTTCAAGATCAAAGTCAAACGCACTGAAAACTGAGGTGAAATAAAGACAACCTATAATTAAAATGAAATTGCTTCTTTTCACAAATATCCTTCACTCCAAAAAAGTAAACGAGGCTGGTCCACTCATGGCTCTCTGCATGAAAGTAGGTGATGACTGAAAGAAGCCTTAGCTTAAAAGTCAAGGACTCTTTCGTGAGAGGCGATAACCATAGTTACCGACCCTGTGTTATTTTTCATGATTTTTTTTCCCCGAGACGCAAAATCTGATCTATGAAGAGGATTACCAAATCGCACCCAAAAGCCTGGCCCCTTCCCATCGCGCACAGAAAGGGAGCAAACGTGACCGAGGAAGTGGAAAGGTTCTCCTCCTCACACATGGACTGCAGAAGTGGGTCAATCTGCCCTCATAACCAACTTTTCACAGCCTCTTCCCATTGGCCCAGTCAAGCGAAGGCCTCACATCTCTACTGGCCAATGGGAGTGAAGCTCCTGCCAAGCGGAGCAGAGAGGGTGTGAGCTTGAAGGAGAGTCATGCTTAAGGTGTGGAGCAGCGACGAATGACTGTGGAAAAGGAAGAAAAAAACCTACTCTTCAGGAACCTGATCTGATGTTTCATAAGCACAACTTAAGAAAGGAAAACTGAAAGGAAGGTGAATAATAAACAGATAAACAGGAATATTCTTTCACCTGATTCATATGATAAAATATTTTAAGAGAATAAGTCCAGAGATTTTAAGAGAACAGGCAGGCCATCCTTCAGCTATAAACACAACTGAGCTCCGATGTTATCTAACCTCTGTTAAGTCATTGACTTTTACTGGTCAAAGAGTTCACCCAGTGGTGCTTGCTGTGGTATGCACTGCCTCCTAGTGGTGCAAGCCATACATGTCTAATGAGAAATTAATTTTGAGTCAAAACTCAACTACATAGCGAGCATTGGGCAAAAGGCAACATTTATTTCCAGTCTCTATGACTATTTCGTACTTGTCATTAATATTTCGGGAGATATTACTTAAGAGATATTAGATATTAGAAGGGGAAAGTCAAAAGAAAATAAGAGAAAAAACAGGACTTTCCAAAACTGAAGTTCAGAAAATAATTCAAGGATTTAGAGAAAATGTGACTCATCCAACATCCACGCAAGACCAGGCAGACAACCAAACTTTTCACTACCAGATAAAGAGTACTTCAAGCTTTCATCTTTCAGAGAGAGGAGAAAACCAGGCTCAACTTTTACTTCAAATCTGAAAATCCACGGTTGTTTCTGTCCATCCTTATATTGTGAGAAGATAATGCGATGCTAAGGGTCTGAAAGGATGTGTAGTTGTCAAGAAGCTATTAGAAAAGGAAATAACATGCAGAAAAACTGCAAATCAAACAAAGAAGCTGCTGGTGTTCCCAGAACAATGGACTGACCACCCCAGAGTCCAGACCTCAACATTATTCAATGTGTTTGGGATTACCTGGATTGAGAAGCAGAAAATACCTGCAACTTCTAAGAAATATATCCCTGCAGATTTCTTTGATAAACTGAAAGCACATCTCCCAAAAAGAATGGACGCTGTAATAAAAGGCAAAGGACAGAGACACTACAGGTTAAAAACATGATATGCTTGTTGGTGTTGGACGCTTGTGTTATTTGCTGTTAACCATGTTTTATGCTTTTTTCAGATGATGGAAAATGATTAACTCATAATTAATAGCCATTTTGTCTAAAAATTAAATAAATGAATGGTGGTCTCTGACTTTTGCATAGTGCTGCATCTATTGAAGTCCTGGCTGCAATAAAATATTTCTGCACATTTCTTAGAAAACCTGAAAGCCAGTCTCACAAAAAGAATGGAAGCTGTACTGTAGGCAATGGATGGCAAACTAAATGCTAGAATTAGTTGATATAATTAGTTGTTGAGGTTTCTGTGTAATTTTGTTATACGTTTTATGCTTTTTTTTCCTGAAGCTCAAAAATGTATAACTTGTAATTAACGTCGTTTAAACTCACTAACCTGCAAAGTTTTCACTTCGTTTCAGTCAGGACCTTTTTTTTTCCCAACCACTGTGATATTTATTTTGCTTATTATTGTTAAATAAAATTCTGTGGTGTGTGCTGCCCCCTAGTGGTGTAAGCAGTACATGAACAATAAAGTAAACTCCAGTTACAACCACCACCACCACCATTGTTAAAACTACTACCTCTAATAACTTTACCCAGATTTTACCGATATTTTACATGAAAAAAATATGTATGAAAAAATTCAAATGCAAACTCATTCGGTTATAAAAAAAGGCAACATTTCAAAACAATTTTAATGACTCTCATGCCACTCTCATTTACTGTAGTATATCATTGAAGCAGAAAATTGATATAGTGAGATAATATTGGATGTAATCTATTGGATATTTAGGACAACAAACATAGAGCTACATAATTTCCCATGCTAACACAGTGAAACAGTAAAATGCAGACTTAAACACCGTAACAAAGACACACAAATGCAGAACACTTAAAGTACAAACAGGACAATAACAAATGTCTCATCAGCTCTAAAAAATTACTTAATGTGGTAACAATTAACTAGTTTTATTTAACCTAAGTAAGTTGAATTAAGTCTGAATTAACAATTTTTTTTGTAGTATTTTTTGTTTAATACAACCACTTCAAATTACTTCTTACATCATAAGGTATATTTTTAGGTTGAAGTGAGAACTATTTTTTTTACAGTAAAGGACCAAAACCTGCTCAGATGTAGAGCTCAAGCTGATACTTCAGAAGCAAGGAATGATGACATTACATGTATTGCCAAAATAGCAGTAAGACTACTTCAGTATACACACTAGTACAACTGGGACGTCGTCCTAGTAATACATTGTAAGAACTGACTATAATCAGTGTTTAGGACCCTCCTCTACCTGACTAGTATTGCAGTCTGTGCTCAGAGGTCCGGATAGGAGGAGAGGAATTCAAGCCAGTCTGTTAGAACAGGATTCACCACAGGAGGCTGAAATCAAAACAATTTGTCAATGCACTGAATAACATACATGATAATGTATTGGCACACACATAATACATCCATCTGATACATGCAAACACATGTACTTAAATTCTCTTCACAAAAAAGCATGCACACAAACATTCCTATAGTTTTCTATAGAATATGTTCAGGCACACAAACATTCATGCATGTATGGAGATGTACTGCTATACTGATGGGGACTTTCCATTTATCTTTCATGTGTCACTGAAACCAAATACTAACACTAAAACTTAGCCTTGGCACCAGATGCCTCGAGTTCCACATGCACATCTCATCTGGATAGCATACAATTTTACTGTGGAACTGATTATAGTGGCATCTTGTAAACAGTAAATCTTTCCAGTAGAATGTCCCAACAGGCCTTTTCAACCACCCAGATAATCTATTCTTCAAATAAGCCCCTGCAAACAGTGGTTCTAGCTACCTAAATGCTTGACTCAGTACTCAGAATAAAGCAAAGAGAGCTGCTAATAAATTTTGTAAACAATTGTTCTTAAAAGGCTTAAGCAGAATCTGTCTCTTGCAAAGTATTAATCAACTTAAGATTCAGTGCCTTTATTAAGACAGGTGATTTACAAATGAAGTGTATTTGATGTCTTCACCAACAGGTTACGTTCAAAATGTGACCTTTCAGGCATAGCCTACACAGAGATTGTGTGGTTCTGCACTGAGGAACCATTTGTCAAAGGTGTCTGAATACCCGCTTGCGTCCCCATTTATTGTTCAGTCAAGCGTTTAATAGCTGATAATAACTTATGTTTAATATCCTCAACATTTTACAGAACAGCGCCTCCCCTTTGTTCACCTGTAGGGTGGCGAGATCCAGTAGGTTGCCGTCTTTACGCACACAAAGCAGTTTGGCTCTCCCTGCCGAGGGGTATCCCTCGTCCAGCTCCAGATGGCACACTGTTGTGGCGGACTTCAGGAAGATCAGCAGTCGCTTAGCTGGACACCAGTCAATGGCAAATCTGAGAAACATGTTTTCAAATGACATGACATGCATTATGTGTACATAATGTTAATATGAGGAGTAAACCACATTTTACAAAATGGGAAGGTGTTTCAAATTAGATTTATAAGAGGTTCGTGAAATCTGGTCAAAACATCCCCCTCCCATCAGCACAAACCTCTAAGGCGATATGTTTTGTCCTATATACATTTTATCCCCCCAAAAAAAAAATCACAGACCGTTAAGTAGTTGAAATACTAAAATGGCGAGACATATGCTACAAGCAGACTGAGACTTTTGACCTGACCTTGCAATTGATGTAGCGTGAAAGTAATTCTACTACTAAACAACACTTTTATGCAACAACAGATCCTCAAATTGTAACCTGCAATCTATTACTACGCCACAAAGCTTTTGTGGGGTATTATCGCAAGTTGCCAGTCTCAATTAAGCGCATAGGACTGCCTATTAGCCTACATATAGCATGTGGGTAGCAATATTCCAATTTTAAATACTAAGAGCTTTGTAATTCAAATGACAGTGACATTCAGGGGAAACATATATAAATATAGAGCAAAAATATATAAGTTTTGGAACTCCCTGGTTGTAATGAGTGTTTTGAAAAATAGCTTTTTTTTTCCCTCATAAAGAAAAACAGCTTAGATTCAGGTTCAGACGCTAATGGCAAACAAAAAAATAAGGACATCCTGAAAGGTCTACTGCAAAAGACAACATGCTAGCTTATGCAAGCATGCCTGCTTTTACTTCCTATGAGACCTCAAGTGGTTGTCCAATGTATAATTCTGTTCTACTGATAAATAAATAATTCTGTTTAACAATTAGCTAAACAGAATTATTCCAGAGAGAGTGAGGCCAACTGTGCTCTCTTGGACTCTTGGCGATGGATGGCTGTGAAATCACGATCGATTGAACTAGCGATCTCCCGATGGTAGCGCCAACGCTTAGATGGGACCATGCCACTTGGGAGCAAACAGCACTATTATTCCAGTATATTAATATTCTGTAATATCTATGAATTATTTAAAAACTACAAATGAAGTTATTACAGCAAAGTTGTGACAGCAAAAAACTTAAATGTAGGCTCACATGCACATACTTCCAGTTTACTAGGTTAAATACATGGAATACTCTGCTTTATTATTGTGGTAACTGTACCTAGAGTGAAGAGCTTGGATTTCAGCAAGCATCTCTCCTTGACTGATGTAGCGCTGCATTACCTCCAGCAGGGCAGCACTCAGCTGTCTTATAGGGCCTTCTACTGACTCCTCTAATAGACCAGCAGTGCCCTGAAACACCTGTAAGGGTTGAGCATCACAAAGCACAGCTTACACACAAGCAACAACTCTGCAATTTCTGACTCTGTAGAGACTCTTTTACTGTTGCTCCACACAGCACTGGAGGCTAAATAATCTTAAACGCTTGAAAATTTACCTGAAGATGGAACAGGTCATCTGTTGTAATAGTGACTGAGAGACGCAGAGGCTGCAACGACTGCTGAGTAGAGCGGGGCAGAAGTTCAAGACACAGCTCAGAGGGGCTGACTGACAGCAGCCTGTACTGCATATTATTTTGAGTGACCTCCAGCATATCGCGCAACCTGAGAGCAAGAAACCATTCCATTCAGACAACATTACAGTAAGTTAATATGGGATGCCCAAACTACATTACACCATTAAAGAGCCTGACGTAATGCATGTTAACCTAAGAGCAAAAGCCTCACCTAACCATCCTGTAACTTGCAAGCTTTTTTGTCTTATGCCTGTTGCTAACAGATATTAGACTCTTTCTAACACCGGAGCAAATACTCAGATTAATCAATGATTTCTACACCTACATTTAACTGTTGCTAGCAAATCAACTGCACTATAATTCATCAAAGGAAACTAACTCGTATTTAAAAGCAGCTAACTGGAAATATCTGACTGAAATTAAGCAAAACATCTCTATTGTACATAACGACTTGCAAATAAAAGAGTAGGTTTTACTGCAAAATTTAAAATGTCCCTTTCTAAAAATCAAGCAGAAATACTTTAAAGATACTTTAAAGGTTGTTTCCATTTCCAACAACCGTTAGAGTATTGCCCACACATCCCGATTATACTGACATTAAAATGTTTTTCATGTATGGTGCTCACCTGTCTCTAAATAACGTCCAATCAGCCACACGTGCCAGCTGCTCCTCTACCTCACCTTTGAGCTCAGAAAGCTGTTTGTCACAAACCCGCAATGCATTCTGGGCCGTCTGCAGGGAATCTTCCAACTGCAAACTGAGCTGGTTCTGTGGGTGAGAGAAAGTGTGACTGTACGACTGTGTTTGTGACCATGCTACCACATGTGTTTGATAATCTACATGACAATAAGAGAGTATAATTAAGAAGTGTAATGTGGAAAATAAATAAATAAAAAAGTCGGCGAATTAAAGAACTGGTGTGCTGCTTAACAATACATAGTAAATAAATCAGTGATAAATCTTTTGACCTCTGCTATCTTGAAGATGACTGAAAGATTAAAAGAGGCAAGCTTACTTCAGCTTTCTGCTTCTGTTTTGCTGCAGCTCTCTCCTTTTCCCTGCACTCCGCTTTCTGAAACAGAGCCAAGTTAATATGGTTTCTGACAGCCTCACACAATTAGCCAATCCAGTTTTTGATAACCTAAGAGAAAGGTCGCTATAAAAGCACTAAAGAGACCAATAAGACCACAGACTGGTAAGAGGTGAAATTAAAAGGGATCAGAAGCAGTTTTCTGGATATAGATTAACAGTTAGACATGGAAAACATTTTTTCAAACCTTCTTTACGCATCAGTCAAAAACTAGACATAACATATATCCAAGAAACCAGGCTTTATATCTCAATAAACTGAAAAACGGAAAGAAACAGAAAGAGAGAGAGAATGCAAAAAGTCCAAAGCAAGAACACTCCAGACTTGGTCTGAGTACTTTGGCCTCCAGGGCTATCAGCAGAGCCTCCAGTCTTTGCCGTTTATTGTGCAGCTCACTCATATTCTCCTCCAGTGTGACTATTAGGCCCTCCACTTCCTGAACTTGCTGCTGATACTCTGCTTTCAAAGCCTTCCAGGCAGCACGAGCCTCACTCCCTGTACACACAAGTCCACACACATTTCTCAGTACACAGCAAAACACAAAAAGCCACATCCCATTAACACTATCTATGAAAATGTTTTATTTGCCTAAACATAATACTGTTACTGTTTTCTTATTCAGAAAGGTTCTTCAAACACACTAGCCAATATATAATTAAAAAGATGCATATTTCAACTATGAAACAGTCCAGGAATAACTCAGCTCATAGGGGTGTAATAATCCATCATGACATCAAAATACTGCAACGCAAAACTGTGAAAATGTGCATAGTTAAGAAAGGACATTCTATTAATTGCGACATCTAATGCAACTGCATAGTCTGAACACCAAAGTTGGCAAACAATCAGCAGCTCACTCCAAGACTCCTCCTGGGTTCTACCTATACTGTCATTAATAAGCTGTGCAACAACATTACTACAGTCAACATTTTTAGAATTTAGAATTAATAAGAATCTTGTTTAAAATACTGTGAATGAACCCGTGGTCTGCGTGTATTGACACACCACGACCAGCTCATTTTACGTCGTTTGAGTGCATGGGTGTGTATTAATGTTACCTGGGTTTGGTGGACATGGCTCATTCAGAAACTGCTCAGCTGACTCTATACCTGCAAGCAGCTTCAACATATCATCCAACACACAAAGCTGCTGGCACATGAGCTTCTGTTTTCGTCGGCAGTCCTACTCAAACAAAAACAGAGCAGCAAACAGACACGTTTATACGAAAATTGAGTTTACACACTCAAAATCATACATGAGCAAAACAGTATGTCAGCAGTCAGCTGTATTCAAAGACCTACAGCTATTTCATGACATACACATCTACACACAACAGTGCAAAGATTTGGTCAAAGTGCTGCCTTCTCAACAGTTCACATGAACCTAGAGTGAGTCTCACCATCAAATAGGATGTCATAACCTTCCCCTCGCCAGTCTCCTGGATCTCCGTGGAATCGCATGGCTTCAAATGAGAAGGATCACTTCGTTCCAGTAACCTGCATTTACAGATGACGGTTATCTAAAGTGTAAGCTGGCTATGCAAATCCAGATATCTTCAAATATATCCGCATGACATTGTCTCGTTTTTTTCTAGACTTTTTATGTTGTCTTGCTATTTTTACAAGTCATTAACTGTACCATTGCAAGGAAGTACATTAAAAAAGTAATATGCATCGGGGAAACCGCAACAAACAGTAAGGGAATATTTATAGACTTCTCTGACAATTTTGTCATCTCAAGTCTCAACGCGTGAGAAAAGAAATTTCTCAGCCTAAAAATGACTAACTAACAAGCTGTTTTTGAAAACATATCGAACGTCGTGAAGCAGTGGTGGGCAACTTTTAACTGGATTTCAAGTTGTGTAAGTTAATGCAGAGACTGTAACGTTAGCTAGCTATAGAGGAGCATTTTTGGGAACAAAACGATTTTTATTAATGCTACCTTCACAATTCTTCAACGTATTAAAGTGTTATACAGCATTTAATATGTCATTCATTAAAATCTGTTCTACATAACAGGGTAAGAAAGGAGAGTAACCTAGCTTACTGATTTATCCAGCTAGCAAACTGAGCTAGTAGACTCTTACATGGTAGCTCAGAAGGCGACTCACGCTTTTATGTGCACTCTAAGGCATTAACGAATAGGAAAACAAAACATGTAGAGACGGATTATTATCTTCTTTATCGTACGTATACAGTATCAATTAAAGTTCCTTATATAAAGCGAGGTTTTGCTTGTTTGGGAATTCTCAAAAGAATACGTACGCAACGACTTTCTCCGTCGCCATTTTTGTTTTGAAACTTGCCCGCCCAAAGTTCATTGGTCCGCACTTGGACCAATTATCACCAAGAGCTCAAATGCAGCAGCCAATCACAAGCAGGCTTCCTTCTACGGCCTTGTATAAGTGATCTAAAACGACTTTAGGTAAGTCAAAAAAATATCTTAGTTTACTAAATTATTGTAGTGTTTTTAAAAACACATTATATTTTAAACATTGTATTGAGGAGCAATTACCTCGTTTTCATTTCTGCATAATTCAAACTTGAGACAAAGTCTTTCGGTTTAATTTTGAAATTCTGCATCGTAGAGAAAACAACACAAATATAGACATTTTATTTGCAATCTGAAATCATCATACACGAGTGTTTTTTTATGTAAAGTGTGTTCTGTAATGTTGATAATAGTAAAATAGAGTTAAAATGTTTTGGTCCTAGTTTGCTTTAACGTCCTGCATGTACCTTTCAGCCCTTCCATACATTTTACCTCAAAACAAACGTAAAACAACAAAACCACATGCGTACACAAATGAATTCACGTGTAACGGTAGCAGGCCTATTTATAACATACTACAGTATGGTAGGCTGCTGTACAGTTTGAAATATGGCCAGTGTTTCAGGCAGCAGGCAGTGTATTCATAATCATTACATGTTACGGCTTTTTGTGAGGCAGCTTAGAAGCATTAAACTCTTGAGATGTCTGGTTCCTGTCACCACCCCTGTGAACAATTCATAGTCGGCAAGTTTCTCTAGAATGGCTCATTTCACATTAAACCACTCTGAATGACTTTGTTTACATGTCAATGACTTAATTACGCAGAAATGAAAAGGTAATTCTCTCACAGCAGAGAGAGGACACACATAACAGACGGCACAATCAAGCAGGAGAAAATCTCCAGAAGAATTTGGACTCCTTGGTTCGACAGAAAAGTGATTATTACACACTTACCTACTAAAGCTTGGAGCTAAAGATTAGCAAGTGTTTTCAAAATACATTAAAAAAATCTATATTGTGAATAATTATCATTAGTCATTTGCATCATTATCATTGTTGTGTTTGTTGTCATTTTCTGTTCTGTCATTTTCATTGTTCACCTCTAAAGATTTTTTTTATCAGAAACGTTTTTCCCCCCTTAGCTATTATCGTTACATAATACATGGAGGGCGTTTGTATATACACAACACACCTTTTATGTATAATGTAAATATAACTCATAAAATAATTTATTTATAATGTGCCTCACATGAATGCTATAAATGCTACTTATTATTCAAATTCAGAAAATTAGACAGATGACAAATACATACATCCTTACAAGCTTTTGAATTTTATTCCAATGATTAGTATAGCATTAATATTACAATAAAGTGCCATCAATTTGATTCCAACCCCTGGCAACCATATTCATGGTGTTTCTCTTGACTATCAGGTCTTCTCTTTGGGTCTTGAGGCATCTTAGAGGCTTATGATTCCTCTGTTTTAATATGGTTTGTCCTTATATCTTTTACAACATGCATGTAGCTAATACATATCAGAGTCTATTAAGAAGTGTACATTCTAGGCATTTTATATTAGTGTTTCCCATGATCCTGGAGCCACACCACCCTGCACATTTCAGTGTTTTCACTGCTCCCAACACACCTGATCCAACTAATCAGGTTGTTAACAACTGAGTTGTAATGGGTGTGTTAAAGCAGAAAAGGCCCTAAATTGTACAGGACAGTGTCTATCAGGGATCAGGTTTGGGAAACACTTGCCTAGAAAATGGTATAATAGTTTTTAAAATAGACAACTACACTACGTGCTCAGACAGTCCTTGTAATTAAAGAGTTCAGCTACTTTAAGATGCCCCCACTGCTGTCACCGAGATCAGTTGTGCATGCAGTTTATATAATCTCAATAAAAATGCACTGACCAATAGAATGGGCTGCTCTGGAGAAGCCACACATGTAATGTCACCATGACCAATGCCAAGCATCAGCTATAGAAGTCTAAAGCCCCCGAAAACTCAGTTGTCAAGCAGTGAACCTGTGTTCTCTTAAGTGGTGCACACCATCTAGTACAACTGGGATGAGTTGGAGTGGCATTTTTGATCCATCACTACCTGATGTCACTAATGTTCTTGTGGCTGAAAACAATCAACTCCTCACCACAATTTTCCAACATCTAGTGTAAAGCCTTCTCAGAAGAGTAGAAACTGATACTGCAGCAAAGGGGGAACAAAGTCCATGTTAATACCCTTGACTTCAGAAGAAATGTTGGACGAGCAGGCATCTACAAACGTCTGGAAATATAGTGGATATGAAATGTTTCAATTTACGTATAAAATACATCAGTATACAACAAATCAACATTCAAAACACACCAAGAAACACAGCATGGACACAAGGAGTAACCGGTTTTCTCATCTTTTAATAACACATTCATATCTATGCTCTGTATTGTTTACAAGGAGTTCAAAGCAAATGTGGATGAAAACTAAAAATCGGGCAGGCAGAAGGTGAAAGTCCAGATAGTGTCCATGGCACCTACTATAAGAGGGGGGTGGGTGGTTCAAGGGGGGGGCGGGTTTGGGGGCTAGATGTGATAAGTTACTTGTCTTCCTTTCCTCCTTGTCCGCCTCCTAAACTGTGCCCTAGTCAGCTAAATAGGTCCTTACTTGCCTGTTGCATCAATACAGATTAAAAAAAAAAAGAGAGAAATTTTCAATATCATGCTGCTCTGCATTGACCCATCGAGTACTATGATGCAGTTCACAGAGAGAGAGAGAGAATTCTAATGCATCCAAAACACAAGAGATACAATCCTATGTCATTTTAAAAAGCAATCAGAAAAAGAAATCAAATAAAGGATGAAGAATTGCGAGGTTAAGAACGTAAATCAACCTAATGAGGAATGAAAAAAAGAGAAATTGAATAATGAAACTGATATTTTCTTTTTTTTTTATTTTTCCCTCCCCCATTCCATTTATTTCCATTTCTGAACAATGTCTAAACAACGGAGAAAACAAAAATCATCTTTGGAAGTAAAAGTATTCTTTTTTTCCTTTAATATACTATCCACTACAGTATACGGAGATGCTGCTACCCAGTTGCTTAAGTCATTTATTAATTACTTATTTTTCGTTTGAGCATTTTCAAAAATTTTTAAACTTTTTTTGTGTCCTTTTTTCCATTTTACTTTTTGTCCTATTTATTCATTTGTTCTCTAAGAGGTAGATCAACAAAAAAAGAAAAAAAAGAAAAGAAAAATTACATGGTTACAGGTATCGTGCCCACTGATTGAAGCATAAGGGGTGTGGGTAGAGAGCTGAGTGTGAGGGACTCCAGGTTGTAGCTTCCCTTCAATGCTGATCTAGGACTCTGCTTGCCTCTCTTCATTCTGACATCCAGTGAATACAAAGGAAATAGCAATACTGGTCTCAGGTCAGTGCCAAAGGGCAAATTCTCTCAGCACTAGAAGGGAAACTGACCTAGCCATGCTCTGCCCAGAAATGTGTACTTTCATAGCTACTCTTGTGAAGCTGAACTTCCTCTATAGAACACTGAAAAACTCCAATTCGAAAAGTCATATTTTGTGCGTGGTAGTTTTGGTGTCGTGTAATCAAGATACCATTAAACATGGTCGGAAATTCATTGTTGTTTTCAGTTTTGATTAGCTATAACATAGTCTAGCTCAGGAGCACAACATTTTAAGCTGGAAACTCAACATTACAATGAATCTAAACTCCAACCCAAGTTCATTAGTTTGAATGAAAACTTGGCCAGCATTCTGTATAGCCTGTCCAACCTCAGATCACTGGGCACAGCATGGTCAGGTCAATTGTACAGCTGTACTGAGGGTCCTTTTTGTGTACCAGGAGATCAAGGCTGCATAGTGAGGAGGTAGCACGGTGTGTTTAAGGGGAAAGGGGATATCAAGCATGGCGAAACAGGCACACAGTATGCATCATCTATTGATGGATCAGCAGAATCCATTAGTCTAAAACAAACCTTGTCTTCCACAGCGGGTATTCACAGGTCAGTAGAACTATTTGACCCTACTCCTGGATCAGTTTAACCATTCGTTTGTTCATTAAGGACAGTAGAGCTTTGAGCATCTTGTCCTAGATCAGCATTCTGGGGCTCTGTGAATAGGATGAACAGGACTCTAAAAGACTATGTGATGTCGTGCAATGGCCATCTTGAATGAAATGAACCTACTATGGCAGGGGTGTCCAATTCTGGTCCTGAAGGGCCAGAGTTCAAGGCAGTTTAGTCATTTCCATGCTCAAATGCACCCGATTCAAGCAGGCAGCAACAATTATGGCTGCACAATATGAACAAAATATCATATCACAATTATATTACATTATATTGCAACTATGATGTGCCATTCAGTATGCTGAAAAGAACTGGTGAGTCCTTGATGTGGTGTGAATTATTCACATTTGTTGGATCATGTGACTGCCTTGATGTACTTAGAGAAGCTCATCTGGAGCATTCAAGGTCAGGACATTCTCAAAACACAAAACATCTAGTCATTGGTTAGCAGCTCTTTTGCATACAGCAGACCTCAAGACTGAAGGCCAATCTTGCGCTAACATTTAACAAACAATACACTGTGCAGCCACAGCTAGCAAATATTACACATATAGCAGGTTTACAAAGAGAGTTTGAGCAGGGAAATCACTGAACTCTGCTCTGGCCCTCCAGGACCAAAACTGGACACCCTTAGACTGAGCATTTCTCATATTCCAGTATTCAGTATTCCTTTACTCCACCTCCTTTCCTGATCTATCAACCAAAGCCACCCAACACCAAACAACCTGAATCAACTCCACCTGTCCTTCAGCCCAACCTCAGCCTGGCCCACTCGCCAAAGCCCCACCTCCATTCCTTCTAATCACAGCCCCAACTCTAAGCTGAAGAGGTCAATTTTCAAACCAAAATGAAAGAAAATGGAAAAATGATAATAAATTAAAGAAATTAAAGTGAAAAAAGTAACATGCACTTCCGCTCTTGTCTGGTTGATAAAAACAATCTTATGGCTAAGTCTTGAGGTAGCGTTTCCTAGTTATGTGAGGTTTAATTCGTCATTAGCACCCAAATGTTTCTCTTTGAGCAAAGGCCAAAAACTAGCACTATGAGATACAACTGCGGTGCGCATCTATTTGATTGCTACACCCAAACTAGTCTGAGGTTGGATCTGTTGTCTAAGTGTAAATCTGTGCACTGCAATGGGTAGGCTTATCATTTTTCATCCTTAGGTGGTTTCCCAGGTATTTTAACAGTCCTTGTGACAAAAGCCAGCCAGTAATTTTGACTTGTCACACAATTGCATAAGTAAAGAACATGCAGTCACATTTTTTTTTTTCCTTAAACTGTTTGCTTATAGTTTGAGTCCTGGTCACAGACAGCTTAGAGCGGGAGGATTTTTTTGTCTTTTAACACAGAGCGAGTGCCAAAGAGGAGACCTCTCAGGGTATCAGTCTTAACACTACTTCCAATACAGACAGTGAACAATTTGTATTGGGCCTCATCAGAGTACATAAAAAAAAAAATCTGTTTGGCACAGTTATTACTTGCATCATGAGTAACTGGTTAGTATTTCAAATGATCTAGTAGCAGTATAAGATCTCTGTGCTTTTCTAAAAAGGAACCTGATTGAGAGAGAGAGAAAAAATATAACTATGATCCAATCAAAAGTAAGAGAAACATTTTTGAGGGGGGGAAAAAAAAATGAAAATAAGCATCAAACAACCGAACAGAACTGAGAAAACGGACACAAACAAGGCCAGCGTAAGAGAGGGTGAAGGTCTACTCCAAAACTGAAACAAAATGTTTTTTTTCCCTCATATAATCGCAAATAATGCAAGGAAAGAAAACAACCTGAAAAATAAAGGTTCAGATGAAGGTAGTGAGTTGAAAGGAGAGAGGTGAAAGGAGAAATGGAGGAAGAAACCAAGTGAAAAGTAAGAGGAAGGGGATGAGTGTAGCATTTTAAAGTAAATCTGACAGCACTTCAAGAGCACTGATTTTAGTGAGCTACTACAAATATCCAGCAAATCATAACACGAGAAAATAAAGTAAATTGCTGTTTGTAAGCTTTGAACAAATAAAAATGGAAAGAAAGAACAGTTGGCCCATCTCCCTCTCATCTCTTTTACACTCATCCTTCCTTTGAAATTTAACATCTTTTCCATATTTTCCATAGTTTTCAGTTATGTTCACTTTTTTCTTTTTTGCTTGTACATTTTTCTCTAAAACTGATGAAACAGTACGTAACCAGATGTCATGTCCAAATAAAGCTTGCTGTTCAAAAAAAAAAAGAAAAAACAAAAAGAGAAAATCACACAAAATGGCTGCAGTCTGAACAAAAGTTTTGCGAGCGCGTCTTGGTGTCTGACAGAAATCACACATCAGTGACGGGTCCGATACTCGAGCAGAAACCAGAAGGCTGCCGTCTACTGAGAAAAAGGGAAGCATAAAAAAAAAAGACATTGTAGATGAAACCAAGCACACAAAAAGAGCGCTAGCTAACTGCTAACCGCTAACCCGCTAAACCCTGCACAGGCGTTTGTGTACTCATCCCTGTTGGAAAGGATTCTGGCAGTATCCATCCATCATTAGCTTTTAAACTGCTGCGTATTACCCATCCTTGTCCAATTGTTTTTCTTTTTATTCTAAAAAATACAAAATCTGTTCAATTGCTTCATTTAACATCTTATATACAGCTGAAATTGGTTTGAGTGATGAACACTTTCTTGATTTTTTGCTCCCGTTTTCCAAAGTATTGTTTATTTTTTTTCATATTCTCGTTCAGTTAAAAAAAAAAAAGGTTTTAACTGAGAGCATAGGATAGGATGTCTGTTTTTCTGCCTTTTTGTAAACACCCAAACCACTCTCCCCCAACAAAAGACTATACAGATTTTTTTTTGTTTTTTAGAAAAAGGAAAAAACAAAACAAAACAAAACAAAAAACCTCCACACATACAAACAAGCACACTGGACAATAGGGAAGGACCAGATTCGACCCTAAACAAAGAGGTGCCAGATACTTCACATTCAGTGTTTGAAGCTCAAGGCGAAGCTACTGCTGCTGGGCTACAGCAGTTCAGGCCTACTCAAGTAAACAATCAGCCAATATAATGCTCATGGCATTGCACATGGTGCATAACACAGCCCTGGCAATGGAAGGCCCAAGCTAGGCCTTCAGCTCATAACGTTCATGGAAACCAATGATGTAGGGCCAGGTATGAGGCACAATACGCATCCTTCAGTCAGGGCCACTGCGAGCTTTCTACAGTTAGCGTTAACAAACGAAAGCTTGTATGACAAACACATGTAATCATCTCATTCTGACTTGAGTCAAAATAGTCTAAAGGACCATTGTGTAGCAATGACCGTGATGCACCACTAAGCAATGGCATAAAGTGTTTCACTTCCCATTGGCCAGTGATTTCAAGTTCAGCCCATTACGGATCCAAAGGCAGCTGGGAAGAGAAGCCTTTAGATCCTTTTGAGCTAAAGTGAGGGGGAAAAAAACAAAACAAAACAAAAAACAAAAAGACATGCATCCAGACACTCACACTCATACACACCACAAAGAAAATAAGGTGGGGGGGCACATCCAACAATAACGAAAAAATATTTCTTCCTTAAAAAAATAAAACATTCAGGACTATCAGCTTTTTATATAAAACACAGCAAGCAAAAAAAAAAAAAAAGAAACAAACAAACAAAAAAGCTGTTAGGAATACTGAGGTAACAATACCCTGAGGTAGGTTTCTTTTTTTTCTTAATTTCATTTTATCTAATCTGTTCTAGGATCAGTGAGGACGACCAGGTTCCTGGCGACCTCACTGGCATACGACGAACGGAGCAGGAGGGAGAGAGCGCAGAAGCCATTTTTTTGGGCCTCACATGTTGTCGACCTTCAATCTGAAGGCAGGGCAGAGAGCTGTACCCTGGGGGCTCTCCATCCTTCATATGATCTTAAATCAAGCATCAAGATCTAGGATAGGCTCCTACTGTCCATATAATCCAGTCTCACAGTGACGTCTGCTAAAACCTGACGCACATCATGCACCGCCAAGGAGGAACTGTTGGTGACTTCTCAAATCACCAAGAGCCCCACTGCTGTGAGGGAACCAGATCTCAGTCTCTGCAAACCTGCTCTGCGCTCTGGTTTCTCTCGCAGTGGCTTTCAAAGAATTCTAGGTCAAAACCAGAACACAGAAGCAGGGGTTAGTTTTAAATATCTCAGTCAGGTCTACATCTACAGGATGCAATGTCAGGAACCATGCAAATATCTATGAGATGCTTAATGTTAGACCTAAGTCATTATTACCATTATGTATTAGACTGATGGCAAACATACATCATGAATATTAACTTTTGTCTAATACGTAACTGCAGCAATGAGATCAATGTAACATACAGGGTCTGTTTCCTGGACAGGAATTACGTCTAGTCCTAGCAAAGCACTCTAAATGGAGATACTCCATTAAAAGGAAAATGTGTAATCCAGGACTAAGCCTAAACTCTGTCTGGGAAACTGACACCAAGCATCTTATAAATACGTTGGTGGTTTCTGACCCTGTAGTATGTAACTGACATGACTGTTTTCTTCTAGAAGATGGACAGGCCCCTGACAGTACAGGATCTCTCTCCACATCATATTTCCTTGCCTTTATCCTCTTTCCTCTGAGGGGCCAGGTTAACTCACATATCATATATATATAATATATATAAAATATGCCATTTGGGCGTGGGCCGCGCACCGGCGAGCATCGCGGGCGTGGTTTAGGGCTGGTGGTGGGGTTTGTCTCGGAGCTGAGCCGCTGCAATAGAACTGCAGGGCCAGCCTCGGCCCGCCCACTAACTGTACCCTCACTGCACACCCCGTCAACCAATCAGCACTCAGCCTGACAGAGACGCGCAAGCTAAAGCCTTACAGCTTCACTCCTGCTCGTCCTCACCAGCGTGACCGCATGACTGCCGACAAGCGCGCAGTATTTCAATACATATTCATGAAGATTATATTTACAACCTCATTTTTTTTTCTTCTTTATGCTTTTTTCCTCACCCCCAACAGTTTACTGCAAGGGACTTAAAGAGCAGTGTTAACAGCTATGGCCCCTCCCCTACTCCGATAGGCTAAGGCTGAGTCACCTGACTCGTCATGGGTTCTCCGCTCTTCCCCTCCCACATCCACTTCACTGCATTTCATTAATAATACCTCTGAATAAACATTTCTATACATATATCTCTATCTTTAAAAAAAACACCCTTAAAATACTAGAGTGACTGGTGATGGCCGAGACCCCCCCAAGTGTGTTACAATTCTCAGGAGTGCTAAACTTCTGGACCCTCAATTAGCCATTGTTCCAGGAAGTTTTTCACAAGCTCTCACTAGAGGGCGCTTTTCCGCAGGAAATCTCTCCGCCATCCTCAGTCACTCGACCTGGCCTGGCATCTGGTCTCTGTTTTCTAGTTCTCTCTCTTTTCTTTTTTTTTCTATTTATTTTAAATCACTCATATTTCTAGTTTCATTTTCTCTAAACATTTTGTCCTCTCTCAGGCATTTTTTCCTTTTTATTCCCTCTCAGTTTGACGCTCGTTTCTCCCTGTCTACCGCTGGGTCTGTGTGTCGCTCTCTCTCAGTCAGTCCGCTGTTTCTCCTCCATCTGTCCGTCCGTCCGTCCAGTTGAGGGCGTGGGGCCCCTTACTTCCTCCTGGGCTCCTGAGGCATTCCTTGGTGGGGCCCCAGCACCGACAGGTTCTGTTGGTTAGGCCCCGGTGTGCCCCCCAGTCCTCCTTTCTGCTGCTGCTTAACCTGTGTCAGAATGTCTCTGATCTTCCTCTGTGCCAGCTAAAAGGAAAGAAAACAAAAGAAATGTGTTAATTCAAGTCATCTTGCACATTAACATTACACAATCGTATAGAGGTAAGTTTACCCCCAGTCTCTACAGGGAGACTCTACAAACTTTCTCTCTGCAGCTACCTTCCTGCAGAGTTTAGTTCCAACATGCATTTAACATGCTGCCCCTCCCTCACCTGACACTAAAACATCTGATCCACCCAATCAGGCACTTCTGAAGAAGTTAATTAGCTGGAGCAGGTGTGGCAGATTGTGGCTGAAACTAGACACTGCAGGAAGGCAGATCTCCAGGACTAGAGGTTCTCCACTGCTGAGGATGTGTTAACTTATTTTAATTTTAAAAATCAACAAAACATGTAATTTGACCAGGGGTGCCCAAACTTTTGTAGTTCTTCCATTACATTTGTCTAGAACATGTAAAAAGATACATCAAATATGTCAAAGGAAAAGAACTGATCACATTTTAATCCTCAGAAATCACAGTGATCTCATGGTGTCATTTTATAATTAATAGCTCAATAAGCAAAAAAAATTCTGTTGACTCCAAACTTTCAATCAACATGATTAAGATTTTATGATCTGAGTATACAGAAAGCTCTTATACACGTCTTGTTTTGCAGTGATTCTTACAATGCAGAAAATAAATCCAATGTAAATGTAATTTAATATATAATTAACTAAGTAATTACTTACATGATTATATAATTACATTTACTTCGGAATACAAGTATGTACTATAAATATTTACTAAATAGTAAGCAAAAAAACAAAACAGTAATAACTAGATGTCTAGGAGTTGATTAAACATTTCAAGGTCACAGTGTGTGGTTTAATACATTTAAACATTAAACAAAACACAATGCCCTTGCTTGTTATACAGTCTTTAGATAATTACAAGACAAATTATGTCAAACATACATCTAACCCACCTGACTTGCGTAAAAGTGGCCAATGATTTTGACGATAACCTGGTCCTGTTCATCAGGGGTCTGTTCTCTGGGAACCACTACCTCAGCTGCAGTCAGGTTCTGTAGCTCATTTACCTACATGGAACATTTAACAAGAGCATCATACAGCCTCAATCTGTCTTTCTAATGAAACCAGCATCTTCAGCATTTACCTTTGGAGATTAAAGCACATTTAAAGAGCAGCCTGTCATTTCATACCAAATACCAACAGACATTAAGCAAAAAGCTCTTACACATGGACTTCTTTTTGCATGGAATTGCAAAATACAATTTTTTTCAAATATTTGTTACTAAAGATTTCACTGCTGTCCATGTCAGATCTGTTATTTTTGCTATCTCTCTTTGAAACAGTAAGTCTACAGGAATGAATAAATGAAGTACCAACTAAAAAGCTTCTAAAAACATTTTTTACGTTTTAAAATCACTCACCGTTTTTCCACCTTTTCCAATAACTCTGCCAGCGGCGGCTGCTGCTACTTTGATGTGCGTCTCCAGCTTCACCTCTTCCTTAGGACCGAAGAAATTCTCCTCCTTCAGCTTGCCGTATATCCTGCCCTGGGCCTAAAACACATCAGAATGTTGCTTTTATAAACTGTTCAAACATTTATAATCTACTGTGGAAAGGACAGCAAACACAAATGTGAAGGTAATAAAAACAGATCACTTAAGAAAATTTATACAGACAATGCAAAGACATTTGGGGAACTCAGATCTTTCATAGTTTATTTAGAAGGACATTGCAGATAAAGATGAACTTCAATATCATTCACTTCTATATTAGTAGTATAAATGAAAGTCTTGTTAGCCAGTATTTGCAGATATTTAGCAGAACAAGCAGCAGCAACTGAGAAAAGTTATCCAGAATTGGAACCATACCTTAAACTGAGCCTCAGGAGGACCAGTAACAATAACCATACGCATTTTTGAATCCGGTGTCTCAGCTGGTGCAATCTGAAAGGAACATTTGTGTCAAATATTATGGCTAAAGCGTAAATATAAATATTATAATTTATTCCAATCTTACCTTGAAACAAACAAATAATTGACAAGTTATCTTTTGCTAATTAGCAATTACTGACAATTTTCAGTGTGATTTCTTAAATCTATTCGTTTCCACCTCACTCATGCAAGCTCTTGCTGAGCAATGGCCTCGCATGACAATTTTCAATACTTTACATAAACTAAACAAGTCATCCCTCTTCTTTGCTGTGACAATTTATCATCTTATGACTAATAAAAATGATTAAAAAAACAAAACAAACAAAAACAAACAAAACAAGGGTGCTTTGTTGTCGAATATATGCGCTCCACCAACAGTTCCGCACCTTAATGGACGCCCCAGCAAAGCGGCTCAGCTGTTTAATGTGCTGCCCCTTCTTGCCAATGATGGCTCCCACTGCTTGTGCTGGGATGTACACATGAACTGTTTCCTGCTCAGGGGCCTGTGGGGGTACATACAGTTATGAATCAGTTGTGCTATTCGTTGATCATTCAATACTCAACAGACACATTAAAATATACACTTTGCTCCAACAAACAGTTCACCCCTGTCCATAATCCTGTTGTAAGCATGTTGTAAATGTATAAGTTCTTATCATAGATATATAGATTATAGAGACATTATGTTTGTAATTTGAATTATGCCACGATTTGCCACGATTTTGTCATCAAAACAAACTAAAAAGGTGAGGAAAAAAAATACTCAAACCTGTCTACATGAAATGTCAGTCAAAGAACTAATCTGTAACTATGAGTTAGAAAAGCAAAACTGATGTAGAAAAATGTTCCCAGCACTTCGACATCTTCCAAGCTGCATATCTTACCCCAAAAGAGCCATACGGAGCACCAACCCCGGCGTTTCCAGGAGGAGGAGGGGGCAGGGAGGAGGATGGCGGGAAAAGGCCAAGAGCTCCAAGGTTCAATCCAGGTATGAGGTGAGTCTGTTGCTAGAAGAGGAGAGAAACTACATTTGAGCACAGGATACACAACTGGCCCAAGTCAACTAGCAGCAGCTGCCCCAATAAGATACACCTTATATTCAATCAACGATAGTCACAGAACTCTCTCCCTCTCTCTCTAACTTACATTCATGGCAGCAATGTCGTTATCATAGGCCTCGCGCACTTTCTTCATGATCTCCTGCTCGGCCAGACAGCAGGCTTCAATGGCACCTTTCACTGTGATGGTCCTCTCAGGGTTGTACAGGGTCAAGTCCTGCAGCCTGCACAGGGTAGGGATATCACAGCGTGAGATTCTAAAGGTAGCATTTAAATATCTGGAAATGCTTTCACTGTTTCATTTCCCCCCCCTGCTAATTTGATAGTGGATAATGGAAGAACAAGGAATGTATTGTGGATGTATTGTGTAATGTTAGTATTGTGTTAGACACAATTTATTGTGGACAAATGTGAGTATTCAAAAGTGTTAGAGTCCCTCTCTGCTCATTTTGTCATTCTTTGTCAGAAAAGTATATTTATTTTCACTCCAGCATTAGTGGATGTATTGTAAAGAGCAACACTCACAAGAAAATGGTTAGAGTTGACAGACTTTCCTGCAAAATCAACTCCATTGAATACAAAATATCATGATAAACATGGTTGTTGGGCTGAATTTTTCCCTAGCGGCTAAAATCCTCTTGGTTTGGATACCATAATGTTTTTAAATCAACCTGTCTTTTTAAAATTATTTCAAGTGATTTTAACATTACTTTGTTAGTCATAATTAGCAGTTACGATTAAACCTTCCCTAGAACAGAAGGAATAGTTTATAACCTTTCAAACAAGTCACACATGCTGACCGATCTGAGTGAGTTTGTGTTGATTTACACTTACGGTGAGATGGTGATCTTGGTGTCGGTATCTTGCTCCACTTTCTTCAGGTTGCGTCCCTCTTTGCCGATCAGACGGCCTACAAAGTTGTTGTGGGCGAGGATCTTCAGAGGCACTTCGTCAGCACTGCCAGAAGAGAAGACAACAGCAACACTGATCTGAGACCTGTACGCCTCTAATATGTAACGGCTTTTTAGATTAAGACAGGCAGGTTTGCTTAGCTCATCCACACTTATAGTGTTATACGCTTCTGTAAATGATGTTTAAAAACTAAAGAGTGTCACAGAGTGTGCCCCTTTAGATCAAAGACTTTTTTTCCTAAAGGTTAATTTCCTTGCTTGTTTTTTTTTGACCTGGGGCGAGAGTCGCAAAGCTTCTCTGAATTATTAAAAAACAAAACATCTTATGACGGATCTTAAAACAAACACTAAGAATGTAATACAATTCTCCAATGTTCTCTTCAGAAACTGAAACAGCATTTATTCTTGAAATTCTTTGAAAAGGAAACGGTAAGGAAGAAATGAAAAAAATTCTAAAGAAATCTTAATATCTAAATGCTCTTGATGCACAGAGGCAACTCACGTCTTGGTGTCTTTGGCCTCCTGGTGCATGATGTCCAGGATCATGCGGCAGGCTGCTGAGCAACCTTCAGGAGTGGAGTGGATGCTAATTGGCTTCTCAGCTGCACCAGCGTTCTCCTTACGGTGCACATCAATCCTGAGAGAGAAATATGATTTTAAAATGATGTCATATTTAGAACAATCTGACAAGCCAAACTAAATACAAATAAAAAAAAAATTCTATTTAATTTAATTTTGGTATGATGCATTATATATTTTAAGGCGATGGCTAAGCCAAAAATCTAGTTGACAAAATTCAACCAGGACAATAGAAGCGTAACAACGTATCCTATTGTATCATTCAATATGAGCTTCTTTATTCAGTACACACAAAAATCAAACAATACACTCAACAGACTGGAGCAAATAAACTGCTGAGTTTAATACAGACGTCATTTAAATGAAATATAATAAAAACTAAAAAAAGTCCACAGTGAGTGTCAACTCTCCCTCCTCTGAAAACACTGCTTCCACTTTGTCTCAAATTCAAGAGCATAAAGAAAAAGCACTTCTCGTAAGCGAATATTATCTGTATAAGTGGGATATTATACAATATTGTACTTATCATCATCATAATAAAATTAAAATGTTCTTCTAAATAAGCAAACCTTTGAACACCAAACATCCCTTGGCTGATGGCCTACATTCAAGGGAAGAACTCTGGTCAAACAATCACTTTGATGCACATATAGAATTGCAAAAATACAACTGGTCCAAAATCATCTTTACCAACACTAATATCATCATCATCATCATCATCATCATCTAACACTCACTTGCTCTGGGTCTGTTTGGTGATGTTGCGGATAGTGGCACCCTCTTTTCCAATGATTGCACCCACATACTGGGTGGGCACAAGCAGGCGGAGCGGGATATCAGCATGCTGGTGTTTAGAGGGGATTCCTGCACCTGGGGAACCCTGGCGGGCGGTTCCACGGGGACCATATCCAGCTCGACGGCCGTTGTCAGGACCGCGCTGGGAGTCAGTGTCTGATGTCTCGTCAGGTATGTAGGACACGCGCAGAGCGTTGTTCTCAAACTGGTACCCATTCAGCTTCTGGATGGCTCTGAAAAAAAATAAAATAATAATAATAATAAAAATTAAAGAACGCTGAACTACGTCATCTTATGCCTGATTTAGAAAACACTGAGGATGGCAAACTCATAACTAATTTAAGAAACACTTCTTGAAAATGCATTGTGGAAATTATATAAACAAATCAAAAGTATGAAAGTACTCACAAAGCAAGCACCTGTATCAACAACAGATCAATTACATGGACCACTGCACAATTTATTAAACAGAAAGTGGAGCATCATGACGTTTCATGCATATCGAGCCAGACTGTTGTCTGATTTAAAGGTAACAGCTCAAGTTGAGAAATCACTGAACGTCAAATAAAGGGCTGTATGGCTCACAACTACTTGCAGTATGGCTAATGCACCACTAGGTGTCATCTGTGCTATGCAATGCAGAAACATGCGCTCCGCTCTGAAGTGCTCAAATTGTAGTATAAAGTCCCAGCGCAGGTGCACTTAAGTGAGAAGTTCGATTTGTGATTAGATTAAGACATGTGTTGGGTGCACATTCCCTCTTCAAACATCTCTTATACTAAGCCTAGTATTACATGTACTTTGGAAAGGCAACACATGCAAAGCACTCGGATGGCAATACAGGCAAAGTGGACTTAATTTAATGCAGAGAAATGCTTAAAAAAAATTCACTCACTGTCTGGCCTGCTCCCGAGTAGCATAAGTGACGTTTACCACAGCAGTCTCACTCTCTGTGTTAACTAGAGAGAGAGAGAGAGAGAGAGAGAGAGAGAGAGAGAGAGAGAGAGAGAGAGAGAGAGAGAGAGAGAGAAAATGAAATGAAATACACACAGCTAGAAACTTCCATTTCCAAATGATATACAAAAAAAAATGTTTTTTACAAATATGTTAAAAAAAATACATTAACAATGTGCAAAGCTGGCAGGTAACTGAGAAATCATAATTAGTTTATACCTTGTTCACAGTTCTCAACGGTTCCATACTGGGCCAGCAGACCATCAAGCACCTGCACAAGACGAAGGGAGAAAAGGTGAGAAAATAATGTTAAATGTTTAACCTTTAAAATTTGAAACCAGCCAATAATATTTAGGTAACAGCAGACAACAGTCCTATAGACTTGAATCAGCAATGCTCTCCACTTTGGCCCTCACTAGTCTTAAGGTGGGATCTGCATGATGCATCAGTTCCAGTCCTGGAGGGCTTTAGTTCAGCACAGTCTGTTCATCTTCTTGCTCAAATGCACCTGATTCAATTTGTTCAGCTGCTTATTCCCAGGTTTAGTAGGTGTGCTTGAGCAGAGAAATTACCAAAGTGTGCTGGACACCTCTCCAGAACCACAGCTGATAACCCCTGGCACAGAACCAGGCTTTTGACAAAGCCTTTTGGCTTCTATTTCTACATCAAAGAGGCCGCGCTCCAGACCTGTTTAAGTCCAGCGACGCTATCTGCTTACCATAACAACCACTTTCTGCAAGTTTAAAAATTGACAGTTTTATCAGCGATGTGCGCTGAAGTGCAGGCTGCCCCCATGTGGCTGATGGAGGCAGTGGAGGCTGGCAGCAGCGTGGCCCAATGGAGGCTGGCCAAGCTGAGAGAGACCCCGCCCTGCCTGAGCTGCAGCCTGTCACTACAGCAGCCATTAAAGACAGCGTGCTCCATGCCACGCCCCGCACTTAAACACCTATTACACGCACTGCTCTTCCATGGCTTGCAGATGCCAAGCCTCCCAATATGTTTTTTAAACAAATGAGTACATTTTCTTTGTCGGTTTAAAATGATGACGTAATATGTTAAATATGAAGATTTGCAGATCTTGCAATTTTTCTTTGTAAAAAAAAGAACATCTGACAAAAGTACTTATAAATACCACCACACCCCATGCATTTTATTCCCTCATTCCCTTATTATCCACACTCAAACCTTTCAGGTAAATAAACCACCTGTGGGTGAAATGTTTTCATGTCAAATTGAAGTTGTCACAATCATTATTTAGCCTAAATCATACCATTGAAGACACTTTGATAAACATGAAGCTGAGAGCCAAAAAAATTACATTTTACATTACATTTACAGCATTTAGCAGACGCTCTTATCCAGAGCGACTTACAAAAAGTGCTTTGTCTATCCAGAGAAAGTATCTTTGCTAGTAACCAATAGATTAGAGAGAAAGCCAGTCCTGAGCTCAGATACTGCTAGAATCAGAAAGTCATTACTGACGCCTAGAGAAAAAGTATATTCAAAGTATTAGTAGATACCTTTGTATCTATATTTTTTCTCAATGGAAATGTAGCAATGAAAATCAAATATTACTGTGATAATATCAAAAGAAGACAAAATGTCCCAAGACTTTTGAAGGACACTGTACCTTTAAGGCACCTTTAATAATCTAATTAAATGATACTAACACCAATGTTTTCCCCATTTACATCTGTTGTGGGTATATAAACAAAGCTGATTCCCTATTCTCCACAGAGAAAGACCTTAAAGTGCAGACTAAGATAACAAGAAAAGCTCTTCATGCAGATAGACATGGTATAAACTGTTGTACTTAGAAGACTGACCTAAGTGCTAACAATTACTCAACATGTTTCATTAATTCATTTATTTCTCACAGTGGACATAATAAATATGTTAAAAGAAATGACTCTTTTCCATTCCTTAGTTATTAGAACAGTCATTATTTTACAACTTCAATTATCTCATCGAATTAAATTAGAGAAAGTTCATCAGTTTATATGTACACTGCACATTAAAAATTTGGCCACACTTCGCCTTTTTGAGATTTGAATTACCTTATGTTTCAAAGAAGTAAGAAAAAAAAGGCCAAAATATTAACAGAGAACAGCTTTTTGCTATTAATTTGGATATTTTTGCAGTACTCGGTGTCATGCTCATCAAAGTGTCTTTCTTGTTATGAAGACCAGGTTTTGCCCAAGTAATGTTAACAGTTTTCTTTTCCAAACTTCGTTAAAAGCACATATTAAACAACATTAAACAAAAAGTGCTGACATCACAACAACAGGCTAAAATGTGTGAGGTTTTTATATTATTCCCATGGCAGAACTGTGATAAATATGGTCAGTAATACTTCAACCTGTGATATACAGTATCGTGAAAAAGTTGTAGGCACCTAAGCACATTGTTTAAAACCATTTATCTTGTCAATGTGCTTTTGCAAGTAAAAAAAAGAGCTAATATCTTCTCAATAGATGAAAAACACAAAACAACAAGAATACCTTTTTTAGGTCGTTAATATCTTGTGAGCTAGCCTGAAGAACAAAGCTTGGTTCCAGATTTAATCACTAGCACACTTGATTTAACAAAGAAGTCCTGATTAGACAAATGTGTTGGATGATAAATAATATTGGGCTACTACGAGGAGAGGTCCTTATTGTATAAAATGTTATTTAACTGCATAACTATTTTTTTCTAAGGTGCCTAAAACTTTGGAACAGAACTATAGTGTGCTTCTAAATAAAGCTGGTCACCTTAATATAACTTTATATGTTAAGTTATTGCACACTAATTTGTTTTATAGCATTTTGAAATGTTATATGTCTCCAAACTTTCTGGCAGGCAGTGTACTTTGGGTTAGAAATGCACTGATTATATCAAGAACAACCACATCTTATTTTTCCATTTAGATCTGCTAAGAGACCTGCTGAAGGTCTTAAATGACTCAATAGCTTAAATAGAAATATTTTCATCTGTGTACAAGGATTTCAGTTTCTAACAAGGCTAAACCTCTTTTTCCTCTTCAAAAGCTCTATTTACTGACCTTCAACTTAGCAGTTTTACTAAGCTATGTTGTTTGGCATGGGAGTGCTTAGTATCTCTGCTTCTACAATATTTCCATTTTCAGGGACATGGAAGAAACAGTCTGTATAATGCATAGGGCAGATTCACTTATTGCATAGAAATAGCAGACTCACCTCCCATTGTAAATGGGGTGGAATGTTTCTAATCTGGAGTTTTCGGGTCCTGTAATAAGACACAGAGAGAGAAAAGGTTAGACAATTCAGAATTCTGAACAAATGAATCTTAAAACAGACGCCAGTATTCAAAAGAACAATCACTCAATCAGTCAAGTGACACAATGAAGCATGCCAATATAACACGATCAGTTATGACTGAGTGACTGGATACATTCTTCAGTAAGAAAATGTCTTCTACAGACAGTACAGAAACAGAAGGTTTTCACCATATCAACAGTTGGTATACCATTTTTTTTAAATAATATTAAAGTTGTGGTTTATGTCATAACATGCATGCAATCACTTTGTTAAATTTAATAAAATACCACACTGAAAAGGACACCATTTGGATAATTAAGGCAATGCATGATAATCTAGTTTACTGTGTAAGACCCAGATACAAATGACTAAAATGTGTTCTGAACACATCTGTTTGGAAGAACTAAATCATCAAACATTAATATTCGTACTCAACATCTTATGTTAGTTAAAATGTTCTTTTTAAGTTAAATACTGCTAATTAGCTCTCTCTGAAAATCAATGCAGTTAACTCATGTCACTGTTCAGATTGCTGCATGGACGCACTGTTTTTCCCTTACTACACATTTTAACCAACATTTATAGGTAAAGTTTCTACATCAATATGTCTCTTTTAGCTAAGTGTTTATTTCTTTCATTACCCTTCTAAAATGCCATGGACAAGGACGGAAGCTAAAAACAAAATTATTTCTTTTGAAAAGTCTCAATTACTCTAGAAGGACTTCAGTAAAAAAAAGCCTTCAATAAAACTTGCTCAGTCAGCAGCTGAGTAAGAATAAGAGAACTAATGCCGATAAAGCACCACCAAAAATAGGTTATAATGGTACATGGTTAGGGCAAGGAGTACTTTTCCCCCAACCACTTTCACATACACTTTTTGGTTTAATAGAGGAAAAAAGACGCGTCCTGGATGAGGCTCAACAGAGTCAACAAAGTCAGCGAAAAAAATACAAATGGATAAAAATAAGCTAAAAAGGCAAACATATCACGCACAACCAAGTGGCTAATATAGTGAAACGTGGTAAAGAAGCAGAGGAACAGTGGAGGGGTGTGTGCAAGCGCTGCCAGCTTGCATAGCCCGCTGCCTGTGGCTAGCATGAGCAGGGTGGGAGAGCGCAATGAGTGGAGATTGAATGGGTATATTGAAACCGGACACTGACGACTGTAGTACACTGCCAGCTGCCCTGGAACCCACCCAGCACACGGGCTAAAAGGGGGAGGGGAAGACAGAGAGAGAGAGAGAGAGAGAGTAATAAAAGAGGAAGAGACTGAGACAGACGCATGAAGGGGGTGTGGGGGGGACACAGAAGCTAAAAAAGACACAGAGAGATGGAGAGTGAATTACCTTTCCGAACCTGAGAAAAACAATAAGCTGACGAGAGCAAAAAGGCAATAGCATACACCAACACTGTCCATTGTACCATGACGCCCCAACACAATGCCCATGAGGTATAAGGGTGCAGTGGGACAATAACACTATGGTATAAATGCTTACTGCTTTTGTGGCCTTTTATTTAAAGCCACACCAAATGTATGTTACATACGCTAACCCTTGCCATTGCCATTGCTCACTGGAGCCTCTAGAGGGAGTCTTTGATCTGAGGGAGCGAAGAGGGCGAGCAGAAGAATGAGGAAGGAAGTTCACGCCAGGGGTCACGAGGGAGGAGCCCAACTTCTACACTACAACCTCTGTAGCGTCTGGGAAAGGGTTAAGGAGAGAATCCTTAATGACCTCTGAACCCTGGAGGTCACACCCACTGGTTGAAGAATGGGGAGAAAGGCAATACTCGCCCTCCGCCCCTTGCTCTCCCAGGCACCATGGAAATGGCGGGTAAAAAAGCCAATCAGGTCACAAAAGCTGCACCCGGGGCGGTTTTCACCAAAGAGATTTGCAATGCAAGGCCAAAATAACCCAGTCTGAACCATTACACCTTGTTTTGGTTGAAGTTTTGTATGCGCAGAATCAATTATGCAGACACAAAAAGGTGGAGCAGCACTCTGTTCTTGGATCAGCCCCTCAAGGGCGGCTTCAAACAAGATGTCGGAGTTGGCTGTGTCGGCCATTTTGTTGGCTCCCTTGTATCTCATAAGCTGTTGATGTACTTAATCAGCTAACTAATGATGGGAGTGCACTTTTCCCCAGTTTCAGGATACTGAAGGTATAGTAAAAGCAACATATGAATGGTAGGACCACAACTCAAGTCAGAAGTTTGAAAATCATTCACTCTGCTTTCACGCTGATCAATAGCTCCAGGCTACCTCCACCCATCCCCCACCTTCAACGCCACACACATACATACAAAGGCCCCTCCACCCCCTTAACTGCCAACAAACATTCCCCCTCCCCGCCACACACAAACCCTTGTGAACCCTTCGCATCATGGGCCATCAGATGCAAACCATTTCTGTTGCTTAATGCCATAGTAGTGGCGCGACAAAAAAAGATGGATGGAGCTCGAGGGGTGGAAGAGAACACTCTTTTTTGTGTGTCTCCCTATTGTTTGGGGATAAGGGGGGGACGGGGGAGCCATCCTTAATTAAAATTTCAAAGCTAGATCTGCATATCGTTTCTACTCAGCCCATCATTACTGCAGGCCTAACTTGCAACTATTGCACAGGCATCGTATTATGAGACCTAATGGAATCTGTTGATCGTGGCTGTATGCTACATCAGTATAGAATCTACTGCAAGATACATGTGCTTTGTGAGGTTCACTGGAGAAGTATCAGAGTCGACGTGAAAAACGTTGAACAGACTTAATGTTTCAAGGTGGAGGAGCCACAGAGGTGCAGACCTTCTAGATAATAACAAGATATATATTGGGGAAAAAAAAAGACAATGGAAACCGGATGGAAAGAAGAAGAAAATGCTCCTCTGAGGGGGCAAAAAGTGAAGGCTCTTCAGAACACCCAGGAGTAAGAGAGTGAGGCTCATTCTATGGGGGTTGGAGGGTCATTCTATGGTATTGTCCCATAGCTGGGGGCAGCGCATTTCAAAAGAATACCCTTTTTCGTAGGGACTAGTCAATCTTAAAGACTTCAAGTAAAACAAAGCTGAGAATGCAAAATAGGTTGGGGAGACATCAAATACACATTAAAAGTTTGGGGACAATATCTGTAATGCAAATGAGCATGGTTTCTGTGTGGGTTTGCAATCTTAAAGATTAACAAGGCTTATTTTGAGGACACAAATATAATTTAAATATTAGTGACAATGTTTACAGAGGTTCTGTGCATATGCCAAGTATTTTATCCTCTTGTTGGGATGTCAGCATTCATCAACACTCCTTTCAGGTGCCTAGACCACTTTTTGAGCAAAACATCTTAAATATGTGCTTAGGAGGATAATCAAACTCTTTTTATGTAAGCAAAACACACTTTTAATACTGAAAAAGACAACATGAGTGCTGCAAAATATGGTCAAAGTATGAGTGAATGACTACTTAGCTTAACAAAACCTTTGCAGGCACTTCTCTTATTTAACTGAAGTAAAGGCAAGAAAATTTGAATTTCAAAGACGGCAACGTGTCCCCAAACATTTTACAGGTTGTGTACATGTAAACTGATGATTTTTTGAGATTACTGGAGGTCATTAATTGTAAGTCACTGAACTATTACCATTACAACACAATTCCTATGAATGAACGAAAGAATGAACACGAAAATGGTGTCACTAAACATTTGACAGGTAGTGTATGTCAGTGCTCATTATTGTGATAAATTACATCTCATTAAACTTTTTGGATAGCAAACCAAATTTTTATTAAATACAGAGCATAATTAGTCCTGTTTTTAATAGTTTTTTAATATATATTACCAGTGATTTTTTTTTTGCTCCAACTTGGGCTGGGCAATATGACTTTCATAGTTACCATGTCAATGTATGTTATCGTGATACACACTATGCGTTTCTAAGCATATCTTGGATATCGTCAGTAGACTGCATATTTCATTGCAAAGGGAGCATAATTAGTCCTGTTTAACTGGATTTAGTGCAGTGCAGTATGTGAAATGTTGAACCACTGTATTTATAGTTTTGACACTACTAGAGCATTTTGTCTTTGTTTCAAATGCACATCAGATGCACACTGTGTACAGTGAAGATTTCTTAAGTATCGTGAAGTTGAAGTATGGTGATGTTATAGTTTTGCCATTATTGTTTACAAGCCAGTGTGCAAACTCAAACTGGAAGACATGCTTGTGTGTGCAATGTATTGCTCCCCTGCCTTTGTTTAATCACGGCAAAGGTTCTGACAATTGTCTCTTCATCTCAAGAAGAAAAAAAAAAAACCCTACATCGTCAATACAAAGAACATTCAATTCCTTTGCATGCACTGCAGGCGTGCACATACACAGCCTATGTCCTTTCATGTTACAAGTCACATCTCGTTCATCTCTGCACACGAACACACCCACTCCCAACATATACAATGCGGCTTGCTCCTACACTTTCACATACATACACAATGAAGCCACACATGCATACATGCATGCACACAAAGCAGGTGCATCTCCAAGCAGCCGTTACAGTGGCCAGCTCCCCTGGAGGCCCCTCTGTTGCTGAACATGCAAGCGAGCTCCCGCATGGCCTGGTGCATGATGGGCTGGTCTCAGCTGCACTGGAGGACTCACCAGGCCCCGCCCCCCTTCAGAGCCACAGACAATGAGACACATTCCATCGCTCATAATTATAAACACACTTTCAAACGCTGCCACCGTGCAATGCACAAACACACACACACCCAAACGGTTCAAAACCCAGCCAATCATTTGTTTTATGGTGACTCACGTCAAACATCCAAATAACAAAACAAGGTATGTCTATCATAATGAGAACATTATAACCACATATAACCGCTATAACACTATTCATGCATAACCATTATAACACAAACAACTGGTTCATATATATATATATATATATATATATATATATATATATATATATATATATATATATATATATAT